CTGGGCCCAGTCCCCGCGCGCCCCGCGTCCGGCCGTGGCGCCCCGCCCGTCCCGCCCCGCGAGGCTGCAGGGCGTCGGCCACTCCTAGCCCTCCCGCAGCCGCCACTCACGCGGACCTCGGGACATCTCGGCGGAAACGCCAGCACGGTGCGGGAGGCTGCGGGGAGGGTGCTGAAGGCTGCGGGGAGGGTGCGGGAGGCCGCCGCCGAGCTCCGGGGAGCGGGCCTGGGGAGCTGCGCGGCCTCCCACCGACCCGAGCGCGCCCGCGGGCGGGGTCTGCGCCGTCGGCGGCCGGTGGGGCGGGAGCGGCGTGCGGGCGCTCTGCCCGTCTCCGTTCTGTCGCTGGACGTGGGCGCCTGTGCGGAGGCGGGTGGAGGCCTGCTCGCTCGGACCGCGGCTGCAGCGTGCGCGGTGGGACAGCCGCCTCGTGCCGTCGGCGTTGGCTGGCAGGGATGGCGGGTTACTGCGGGGTCACTGAGTAAAAGGGGTGCGCGCTCTCCGCGGGACAGAGGTGTGTCCCTGAACCGCACTTCTTAGCTTACGGGAAGGGCGTCCTGGTGTCGTCCTTGGCCGCAGCAGCTCTGACGCAAACACCATCAAAAGCATTCCTGCAGGTCCTAGACTGTAGCTAGTGTAGGGGACTGAAAAGTTGGGCAACACATGAACATTTCTGAGGAATGCAGGGTGCTGCAGAGTTGGCAAGATCTTGTGCTGACTTGCAAGACCCACCTGGGGTTTGCACCCCAGATAGCAGGAAGGTGGCTCCGGGGTGGAGGGGCGAGAGACAGTCGGCTAACCGCACACCTCTGCTTCTGGGAGGCGCGTGCTTGCTGCACTTCCGGGAAGTGTCCCTTGCAAGCCCCAATGTACAATTAAGGTTTGCAAAAAAAATAGCACAAGGGAGGGGGACAAGGGCCGCGCGTGAGCAATTTGGGGGGTAGAGGAGGGGATAAAAAGGCACACCCCGCTTCGCTCGGGGTCCCCAGCCTTAGAGTGTCCACTGCGTTGGTGCTCTGGGCTCGGACCCTGGCTAGCCAGAAATAAAGCTCCTTTTGTGTGATTGCAGCTTCAGAGTCTGTGTCTCTTTGTCCGGTGGGCGCCAGAAGGTCTGTCCCTAACACTAGCAAACGGGAAAGGAGCGGTCAACAGCGGCTAAAGGGACAAATGTCCTGACTCTAGGAGGTTTCTCTGGTCGTCTATGGCGTTGGCTGTCAAGAAGTGCTGCGGACTCTTCAGGGCTCGGGAGTGGACAGGCCGTGTCCTCCCCTAAGCATTGCACAAAGCTTCGCAGGGACCCGTGGCGGAGGAGGTTGGGGTATTTCCTTTCTCTTTGTCTCCCGGTGATCATTAGGCTGTTCCTCAGTTGGACCTCTTGTTTGTCTTTGGCAATGCGTGAGGCTGCACTAATCAAGGAACTTTGACGTCCCTATGTCTTTAGACCACTATTAATTCGTCCCCAATTTACACTTGAAGAAACTAAGGCATGGAGTGAACTTTGAAATAAACGTGCGGTATCATCCGCATTCCGTGACTGCCAGGGAAGGTGCATTGAGTAAGGAGGAAATTGTGATCAATTAGAAATGTGTAACGGCAGCTCTTCTGTAGCCAAAAGAGAAGACTAGGCTTGTTTTAAAATGAAATTTGGAGTGTACCATCATTATTTTTCTGGATAAAACAGCAAAAACGATTGATTTTGATTTTCCTCTATCTGTAGTATACTGAGTCCCAGAAATATGTTGTACTTTCAGGGTTGTGAATCTGAACGAGTATGAAGAAAAATTCCTGAAATATCAGCTTCCAAACTGGGCAAGATACTATGTGGTGCTTGTTGGTCCATAACATATTCCATAATATGATCCAAAAATTTGAAAAAAATATCATACTTTCCCATACTTTGGTTGGACATAATTTGGCAAAAATCGTTCACTGTATTTGTAGAATACTGAATTGTAACCATATATTTCCTATGTTTTTAAAATTTATTCTGTACATTCCCCTTTTTCTGACTATAGCATGTCCACTTAATATAGGCGAGTAAGGCTGTAAGATGGGGTCTTTGCATCTGGATTTTTCTAAAGACAAAAACGTTTGCTATCTAGAGAAACAGCGTGTGTTAAATAACTGAGAGTGAAAGTCTGGGTGTCAGGACAAAGGGTTCATTCCAGGATCTGCCACTTTAGGTGCATCAGTTAACTGCAAATCTTAGTTTCTTTATTTGTAAATTGAAATCATGGTAAAATTTACTTCATGGGTGATAACACGCTCATGTATGTCATAATACTTGTTCAAATTCTGTTTCCGTCTGTCTCCTGCTGATCATTTGGCCTTTCCTTGCTCAGAGCTCTTATTTGGGCAAATGATCAAGCTGCTATAATCAAAGAACCTTGGAGAAGTCCTTTGGTCACTTGGACACCTGAGTGAAATTAGAGTTCTGTTAGCAGGTAAGAAGGGGGCAGCTGCAGGCAGGCAACCAACATTTTCTACCACACTCTTGTCATGTGTGGCCATTATGAAGAAATAGGGATAAATTAGAACGTTGGTATATATATACCAACGTTAGTCTCTCTCTCTCTCTATGTATATATATATACATAGAGAGAGAGAGAGACTTACCCTGCCTTAGAAGGTAATATGTAAAATATCTTGGAGTTTCTCATTAACTTCAATGGAAAAAAATAACTTCCCTGAGTTAATATCTTTTTATTCAAAAACATTAAGAGCTTTTATTAAAATGCACAAAATTACATTATTATTCAAAATTAGTTGATATAAGAGGCCAGCACTCCTTCATTGATTACTCTGTAACATGACTATGTAACATGACTATGTCACCTGCCTAAATTCAGTGTTTTTGTGGCCGTTGGATGGCCTTCTCTAAACTACTCTCAAGGCCTTCTTAAGATATTTAGTGCTTATAAAGTTGAATTGTTCACTGGGGGCAAAGCGGCGGGGAAGAAAGTAAAAACAAAATAAATCATTGGAAACCATGCAACAGATGCATAATATTAAGGTCGGACTTAACAAGCATCACAAGATTATACGGGAAGTGACTTCGTTCGGGAGCGGAGCTCACAAAGTCTGGCGGGTGCACCTGGAGGCCCCTTCCCCTGAGCCCAGCCGCATGCAGGTGGCCCTGCGGGTCCTCCTTGGCTGTGACAAATTTGAGACGTGGCCTGGACTGAGGAGAGAGAGCAAACAGGCCTCCTTATGAAGTTGAAACCTTTTGCCCAAATGGCAACAGATTTCAGGGCGTGTTGCAGTTCCTTCCTGTTGGTGAGCATTTAAAAAACGATATTGAACATTCTTGACCCCGGGGAGGCCCAGATCCCCCAGCGGAAGGCAGCGAGGGGTGCGTGGAGCCGCGGGGGGGCGGCGCGGGCGGCCTCGGCTTCCGGGAGGCGAAGGCGCAGGCCCCACCGAGCACCGGCCGGCCGGCCGGGACGAGCGGGAGGCGGCCGCGCGGGGCCGGCTCGAAGGCTCGGTTCCCGCAGCGGGCCGCCGCCACCGCCTGCGAGCCGCCCGCCGGAGGCAGAGCCGACGCCGGGGCCGCGTCACGCGGTTCCCGCAGGGAGGCGCGGGCCGTCGGCTTCGCTCTCGGCCGCGGGCACCAGGCGGCTGGGCAGCCCTCTGCCGCTCGGGCTGCGCCCGGGCGATGGCGGGGAGCGCGGGCGGAGAAGAGAGCCGTCGAGGCAGGGGAGGCGCTTTCGCTCCCGGCACCTCTCCGCGCGGGCTGCAGACGCGGCGGGCGGTCCCCGGGGTTTTTCCGAGAGGCCTCTCGAAGCCGGGCCAGAGGCCGTGGTGGTGCTTCCCGCTCCTCCGCCTCCCGACCCCTCGTGTGAGTCGTGCCCGGACGAAGCCGGGCCAGAGCACAGGGAGTCCCCGCTTCGGGGCAGCCGGCGAAGAGCCATGGCAGCCCATGTAAACCAGAAATGGCGGCGCGGTCGCTTCCTGCATCTCCTGCCGGGCTGGCTGCCCCTGGCAATCACCCCACAGCCGCCTGGGAGCCCGCTGCCCCACCAACACCCCAGCGGATTTGTTTATGCCCCAAGGCCCCACGTGCCACTGCCTGTTTCCGGCCAACGCTGCTTGCGTTAACCCTGATTGGGATTAATTTTTTGAATCCCACTGTTTTTGATTGGATGTTACAGCTTGTTGCTGATTGGATGTTAAAGCTTGTAGTTGATTGGACGCTTCTTGAGCCCTACCAAGGGTATAAAAGGAGGGGCAGAAGGGCAGGAAGGGGGAGAACATCGGAGAAGAGAGCTGTCACACTAGGTGCTGAGCCTGCTGTAGAAGAGTAAAGGCTGTTCTCAGACTCCTCCTGTGTGGCTGGGTTCTTTCCCTGGTAAAATGAACAAGAGCTGCAGCGTTAGCTGTACACACTGCGCAACAGCCAGCCTTGTCTTCTATGTGGTCTGTGCTCACAGCGCTCCGGGTTTGCTTGAGACCAGCAGCCTGGAAATCCGCAGTTTCAGAAGAAAGTGCCTTACAACCTGCCATTCCCGGTGCCTGTTAACGTTCTTGGCCTGTCTTTTGGCAAATAGGTGGTTCTCACTTTTCTGTGAGTTCTTCTCCCCTTCTTTCTCTTTCCTCTCTCCTTTCCTCTCCTCCATTGACTTAGGAAGAGCTAACAGTGTTATACAACGAGCTGTTTTCTTAACCAAAAGAAAAGCAAGTATGTGTGTTCGAAAATGACCCAAATAAAATAAGTTTTCCAAAACCTACTTTTTACTTTACAAGAAACAAAAAACAACAGGCCAGTTTAGCCCATTAATAGACAGTTATTTGTCTTGAAAGCTATAGCTGGGAAATTAGCCTTATGACAATTGAACACCAAAGCTTAAAGTTTGGTATGTTATTACTGGGTGTTTAGTCAACCCAGTGCATTTAAGGATTTCATTTTTCTTTGAAGGACAAGCATCCATTGGCATCTGTTGGTTATCATCCCCTTCAAAACCTAGTCACTATTACCGGTAACTACTTAAGAATTTACACTTCCGAGCATTTTTTGGATGTATATATAGTTTGTAGAAATCATCAGTCATTCCTGAGAAAGTTAACCTTTTAAATGAGTAATCAACATAGTGCATACACAGTAAGGAAGATCAGATTTTAAATAACAAAGATTCTAAAAGACTGCTTTGATATACCCACTTTTTCTTTTGGTTTGGGTTTTATTGGTACAGAGTCATGATTTGCTGCCTGAAGTTACATAATTGGGTTGTGAATCACAGCACATATGGAAGTTTTTTAATTCAGCAAGTGTTGCCTGCAGTTGTGCCAACTGGCGTCCTAGGCACAAGTGGTGCAAGCCAGACCCCTGGTGTCCCTGCACTCGTGGGTCTTACAGTCGGAGTTAGGTAACAGAGATTGCCAGATGAGTATACTTAAGAAGTATAGAAAGGGTGAGGAATGCTCTTCTAAGGAGGTAGTCAGGGACGGTCTCCCTGGTGGGTGGTGAGTGAGCAAGCCGCTGCTGTCTCAGGGACGAAAATAACAGGCAGTGGGGACAGCAAGCACAGAGGCCGTGAAGGAGAAGCAGGCCTAGGGTGATCCAGGACCAGCAAGGTGCTGGAGTGCCGGGTCCACGTAGATGCTCTGCAGAGAAGTCGCGGGAAACCGGACATTTAGGGCGTTGTAGGCCGTCATAAGAACCTCGGCTTTGACCTTGATGAGAAGGGAAACTGTTTAAGAGTTTTGAGCAGAAGAGGGACATGGTTCTGGTAGACAAGTATGCAAACAGAGGGGCAGCGTCACTTAGTGGCCATTATAGTTTCTCTAGGTAGACTTACCAGTTGAAATCCCAGCCTTTCCAAAGTTTATTAGCTGTGTGTCCCTGAGTAAGACACTTCACTTCTCTGTCTCTTAGTTTCCTCCTGCAGAGACAAGGGATAAAAATACTCCCCAGCTCATAGGGCTTTTTTGAGAATTGAGTGAGCAAATATTTCTAAATGTGCTTACAATAATACCTAACACTTAGTAAGAGCTCAATGAATGTTAGCACATATCTCCTCAAGGGTGGTTTAGAAAGAATTATAGTTTTCTTGTTGACGCTTGCCCAACCTAATTTTCTTAAATTTTTTTAACTTTTCTGCACTCAAGAGTACTTGACAGGTCCCGGGTGGATCTTCCTACTAATCTGTCTGTGTCCAAACAATACAGAGTGGCGTTCAGTATATGTGATCTGCCAACCGGTACTGATGAGGGTGCGCTACGTTAGAAGCAAGCCAGCATTATATGAAATAAAAGACTTTGGTCTGGGGGGAAAACATTCTTATATAGCATCATTTTTGAAAATCGATAGATATATTTCAGAGTATGAATGGGCCATGACTTACCCTCTCCTCTGTACGTGTTATTTATTTTACATGCTTTTGCTGTTCTGTGTAATGTTACTGGGAATATCCTTGTATTGAATCTTCATCAGCATCCATGATTGAATTTGCTAGAATGAAGAACTACTGGTTCAAGGAATTATTCCTTTCAAAAATATGATTTTTATTATACATTTATGTTTAATATAGAAAATTTGAAAAATGTGGCAAAAGTCTAAAAAAGAGAGTACAAATCACCCTACCATCCAGATATAATCCTTTTTAACATTTTGGTGTCTTTCCCTATCTATTTTTCTGCATATATTCCTATATTTATTTATACATGTATACACACACATATACACAAATATAAATATGTATCATTGTTACAGATTTATTCCTTGAAAACAGTTTTGGAAGGCTATAAAATATTCTTTTATGAATGTGAATATTCTCTTATGAATTCATTTAACTATATCCTTTATTTTTAGACAATTTAATTGAGTTCCTTTTAAAAATAGTTTTCCATTTAATGATCAGCTGCCACATGCGAGGCTCCGCCAGGCACCGGAGACGGTGCGCAGGACGGTTTCTGCCTTCTGTGCGCATCATGAGAAACAATTCTGAAGTTACAGCTGTCTGACTTGGTTCGGGAGAGTACGTGGTGCTGTAGAAATGTCTACCGGGGAAACTTAGGGTGGCTTCCCTCAGGAAACGCCAGTTTGCTGAGACCTGCAGAATGCACACCCCGGTTATGGTTGGGGAAGGGGTTGGGGGCAGAAGGGGCCCGGAGAGTGTGGCGGGGGGGGGACAAACTCCCACATGTGGTGGGGAGGACTTTAAGCTGTGCCTGCTCCCTTGGAGCTAGGCAAATGGGAAAGGAGGCCTAAAATCCGTGTTCTGTCTTTTGTGCCTTCTGTATCCCCCCACCGCTGTCTCCCCTCCACCCCAGTCTCGTTCTCACGAGGATAGTCAGTCCCAGCTGCGTGTTGGCGTTCTCACAGCCTGGGCAAAGGCACCGTGTGGATAATACATGTGGGCGGCCGTGCCAACCAGAGCCCGAGCCATAAAGCAGGCGACAAAGATGTTTTCACGTACATTTCTGTTTCTCGTACAGTCTTTAGCAGTTCTGTAAGGCGGCCATTATTGTTTCATTTTGCAGGTAAGGAAACTGAGGCTTAAGTAAGTTCCCCAAGGTCACAGGGCTAATGAGCCACATAGCTGGAGTGCATGTGCATGGGAGGAAGACTCGTGCTCTGTGAGGTGTCCTTAGGGCCCCTGTTCTCCCACCTTCAGTGCCTGCCTCGCCCTGGTCCCTGAGTCTTCACCCTGTGTTCAGGTCCCTCACCCCGTCCCCGCCCCGTCCCACAGTGCACTTCTTTCCCAGGGCGCTCTGTCTTCCTTGGCAATGTCTCACATCCTTGTAGGGAAGGTGGCCTGTAGACGCTGCCCTGTGGGCCTGGTCTGCCGGGCAGGGTCAGCCTGCAGCCCTGGCACGCTGTGCAGGGGAGGCTTGTCACCTGAGCCACCTGCAGCAGGCTGCTGGAAAGACAGTTTTCAGAATGTCCTCCTCCTCAAGGGCGTTTAACTTTAACTTCCTGCCCACCACGGCGTTGTTATGAAAAACATCAAAGTGCAAAGTTGAACAGATTTTACAGTCAACTCCCTGACACCCCTCGTGGGTGTCACCTTATGCTCTTGCTTCCCCACATGGCTGGCCGTCCGTCAGCCCGTGGTTTTTGGATGCACGTCCAGGGAAGTGCAGATGTCAGCTGAATACTGCAGCACGCTCGCCATAACCAGGGCTCCTTGTGTTTATAGGGTTTCCTTTTGGTATAAAATTTACCTGCAATTCTTAAAAGTACATTTGTTGAGTGTTTACAACCGCACATGTCTTTGCAACCCAAGCCCTTTACCGACATACGAACATGACCGCACCCCAGAAGAGTTCCGCCTTGTGCCCCATCCCACTCGAAGCCTCACCCGGCCCAGAGCTCACTGCTTCTTTTTCCCAGCACAGACCTAGTTTTGACTGTTCCTGGAACTCATATAAACTGAATATATAGTAACGTTTCCTTGTTAATAACTTCTTTCACTCAGCGTTATGGTTTTTTACATTTTACATCGGCATCTTTTTTTTTTTTCTTTTTTTTTTTGAGACAGAGTCTCGCTTTGTGCACGCCTTAGAGTGAGTGCCGTGGCGTCAGCCTAGCTTCACATGCAAACCCTCAATACTCCTGGGCTCAAGCCAATCCTTTCTGCTCAGCCTCCGAGGTAAGCTGGGACTACAGGCATGCACCGACCACGCCGGCTAATTTTTCTATATATATATTAGTTGGCCAATTAATTCCTTTCTATTTTATAGTAGAGACGGGGTCTTGCTCTTGCCTCAAGGCTGGTTTCGAACTCCTGACCTCACGAGCAAATCCGCCCGCCTTTCGGCCTTCCCAGAGTGCTAAGGATACAGGCTTTGAAGCCACCGCGCCGGCCATTCGTAGCTCTTTTTGTGTGTTAGA